CTATAGAAAATTACCATGATGACAAGGAAGATCAAAACACACACTTAGAAGAAGACAGCAAAGTCAAAACTCCTACATCCAAAACCTCCAAGAAAAACATGAATTGGTCTCAGACCATGAAAGGACTCACAAACTATTTTAAAAATCAATTAAAAGATGTAGAGGAAGAGAAGATGAGAGTGATGTAAGAAAAGCATGAAAAACAAGTGAACAGCTTGATAAAGGAAGGACAAAAAAAAAATACTGAAGAAGATAACACCTTAAAAACCAGAATAGACCAAATGGTAAAAGAGGTACAAAAATGCAATGAGGGGGCAGCTAGGTGGCACAGTGGATAGAGGACTGACTCTGGACTCAGGAGGACCTGAGTTCAAATCTGACCTGAGACACACACCACTTACTAGCTGTGTGACCCTGGGCAAGTCACAACCCCATTGCCTAGCCCCCCATAAATACAATGAGGAGGAAAATGTCTTGAAAAGCAGAATTGGCCAAATGAAAAAAAAAGAAATTCAAAAATTCACTGAAGAGAAGAATTCCTTAAAAAGAAGAATTGGCTAAAAAGAAAAAAAAAGAGGCACCAAAGCTCACTGAAGGAAATAATTCATTAAAAATCAGAATTGAGAGTCCCTTGGACATCAAGGAGATTAAATCAGTCAATACTTAAAGAAATTGTTTCTGGCTATTCACTGGAAAGTCAAATACTAAAGCTGAAGCTTAAATACTTTGACCACATTAGGAGAAGACAGGACTCATTGGAAAAGACCCTGATGCTAGGAAATATTGAAGGCAAAAGGAAAAGGGGATGAGAGAGGGTGAATGCATAGACAGAGTCATGGAATCAATGAACATGAACTTGGGCAGACTTTGAGGCATAGTACAGGATAGAAAGGCCTGGCATGCTCTGGTCCACAAAGAGTCTGACATGACTGAACAATAACATGTACAAAACTGTGCTAAATGCAGGGTATACAGACAAACAAAAAAAAAAAAAGGTCTTGGCCTAGAGGAGCTTGTGTTCTTCTGTAAGGAAAGAGCTTGCATGTTTACAGGGAAGTGAATATAATTTTAAGAAGGAGAGGAATTTCATAACTAACTTGCAGCAAAGCTTTGTATAGGAGCTGGCATGGAAAAAAAATGCTCCTAAACACTAATAATAAAGTAAATGCAAATTAAAACAGTTCTAAGGTTCAAGCTTATCAGATTTGCAAGGCTGAAAAGACAATGACAAATATTAGAGGGACTGCAGGAAAACAGTTACATTGATGCGTTCTTAGTGCAATTCTAAATTAGTACAAGCACTCTGGAAAGTAATTTAGAATTATTCACTCAAAGCTGTCTTTTCAAAGATACCTGTGTATACCCTGTTATCTAGTAATATCAATATTAGAACTATACCCAAGAAATGTAAAAAAAAAAAAAACAAACAATCTTTCTATATGTTTTGGAGCTAAGCCTTAAAGGCAGTTAAAAATTTCAAGAGGGAAAGGGAAAATGGAGAGCATCTCTGGCATAGGGGAAAACCAGAATAAAGGCAGAAGATGTTATAAAAGGTGATTTATTATAAAGTGTTACAGAAAGGAGTAGGAGATATAATAACAGATGAAAAAAGTAAAAGACTCACAGATTTCCAAGGATCTTATAGTTTATCATGAATCTTAGCTGCAACTATCAAACTTTTGGCCTCCTCTCCTTAGATAGTTTGTGACTTTCATATAACTAATCTTGGCCTTGATATTAACTGAGTTCCAGTTCAATTTCTATGCATTTGGCTGGCCAGGGCTCCCATTCTTCATTCTCTGACAGAGCCATTGATACTTAGATCCTTCTCTGAGGGTAGATCCTGAAATCTACAGGATTGCAATTACAATAACAAAATATTTCTCCAACATAGAACATTCTCAACATATTATGATCTTTCTGACAATTGAGCAACATCACTTCAGCACACTAGGCAATAAGTATTTATCAAAGGTTTTTAAACAGATGGAAATGTAGATAAATTAATAGAAATTTAGAGAAAGAAGAAAGACTTTGGATATTGGTTAGTTTGATTCTTTCATTTTACAGATGAGGAAACTGACATCCAGCAAAGTTAAACTACTTTTCCATGGTCACATGATCAAAATTTATCTGCATTATATTCTTTTAAAGATCTCCATTTCTATATTTCTAAGTCAGGAGTGAGGAACCTGTGGCTTCAAAGCCACATGTGGCCTTGTAGGTCTCTGGGTGTAGCCTTTTGACTGAGTCTAGGTTTTATAGAGCAAATCTTTTTATTAAGGGGATTTGTCCTGTGAAATTTATATTCCATAAAAGGGCCACATTCGAGGACCTAGAGGGCCACATGTGACTTCAAGGTCACAGGTTCCCCACCCCTGGTTCCAGCTCTATTTATGATTTAAGTTATATAGATACAAGTACTGAACATGGATTTAGAAAACCTAGCTCTAAAACTTAGACTCTGTCCTCTCTGAGTTTCCTTTACTCAGCAGTAAGATGGAAATAAGTAATGTTTACATCATGTAGTTTGAGGGGACTTCTTTGTAAAGCTATCTTTAACTACCTTATATGTGTACATCAATATGTTTATAATTTATGGTAACTTAAGAGTTCCCTAAGACTCACAAAAATTAAATGACTTGTTTCTGCTCATATAGCTTATGAGTTTCAGAGAAAAGGTTTTAAACTAAGTCTTCATGACTCCAGGTCCAGAGCTCTACATCCTGGTTCATGATTTCAGTATGAAAGGAAACTTTTAGTCTTCCATCTTGCTCATGAAAATGAATAACTGGTTCACTACTGTTCCTCTCAATTTGCTGTTTGTGTTACATCATAATAGAAAGAAGCAAAGAAGCTGCTTCTGGGCCTTAGGACTGTCAAAACATTTTTTTTTTATGAGTTCCCATCTCTTTTTAAAATGGCATTGCTACTTCTTTGTCTTTTTTCTTCATTGCTAAATAAAAGGCAATTGTCATTTAATAAATAGATCAGTATAGGAAATTTGTCTAGAAAAAAGGGAATCTAGAAGTGACAAGTGGGTGGGCATATACACCTTTATTAGTGACAAATGAAATCCCAACCCTCACTGTAGTTATGATACATCAAATTTAAATGAGATTTCTTTTATTCTAAAATCACATCTGCCTCATCTGGCATTCTTTTCCTATGCTATTCTACTAAAATTACCCTTCAGAGGTGGTTCTTTGAGACTATGAATGAGACAAGAGAAAAGTGGATAAAGGAGAGAAAGGATAAATAGGGGATGTGAAGGGTGAGGAGAAAGTAGCTTTAAACTGTCTTTTTATATTTTTAAACCCCTCACTGTAACTAGAACACAGGCAAGTGAAAATTCTGAAATCTAAAAATCTCAAGTTACCAGCTCAAATCTATCGCACCAAAGTCCATTACTTATAGCTGTAGTTTAATATAAAAATACTCCAAAAGCATTATTTAAAAAAAAAAAAGACTAACCATTACATCTTAACTAACACATCCCCCATCACGACGGCTGCATACCTAAATAAAAATAACTCTATTCTCTTCCTGGAAATTCAAGCGCAGACACCACCTGTCTATTTTGATATTCTACATTTTGCTTCTCAAAGTAATTTCATGTAATCATCCTGTCCCAGCCGCTGAAATAACGGGGTAATAGAAAGGGTCAGATTCAGGGAGAAATATGTGAAGTCAGAAACTAGCCACTGACTCTACCAATGCATGTGATCATGTGGATTACAAGGTTGTTCGTTGCAAGGAGACGGCGGTGGGCAACGGGCAGTGTGCCAGATCAATGAGCCCTTCGTCTCTAGGGCTCGGTGCATGGCGAAAGCAGAATTCCTTCTGCCTCAAGGGAGCCCAGGTCTTAGCTGGCACTGCCAGGAGATTTCTTCCCCTGGGGCATCAGGGGAGGAAAAAGTGCCTCTCAGAGTCAGCTAGGCAACACTACTATCTGCTGCCTCTGGATTACTCCTATCCATGCGTGCGTGCTCTGTGTGTGTATGTGTGTGTGTGTGTGTGTGTGTGTGTGTGTGTGTGTGTGTGACTTCGTAGACTACTCACACGTACAGTAGAGACTCACAGGAGAGCGAAAGCAGGAGAGGGCGGGAGAGCTGGGAAGAGGAGGGGGAAAAGAGGGAGAGAGAGGGAAGGAAGGAGGCAGAAGAGATCCAGACCTAGACACAGCAGTAGCTAGCTGTTCGTGGCAGAACAGACTCAGGCTCCCTTCCCAGGCAGCACATAGAGACTGCCTCCTTCTCCTCCGCTAAGAGGCAGGAACCTCAAACAGAACAGGGGCAGCAGCAGCCAGCCGCAGCTCTAAGCTCCTACCTCTTTTTCTCCGTGTCAGTTCCTCCCCCTCTTCAGCTCCCAGCCCACAGCTATTTCCTTCTTCCAACCTCTTTAAGATCTCTGGCTTCTTTTCCATTCTCACCTCTCTCCCATTTCTCCTCCCACCCGCAATCCCACCTTTTCTCGCCTTTCCTTCCATCCCCCTCCTCCTTTTCTTTCTTTCTTTCTTTTCTTTTTTTATTGCTGCTTTCGTCCTGTCTCGAGATAAGTGCTATCTTCCCTAATCCTCTGGCATTTCAGCCCCAAAAACTGAGAAAGGAGTTGCTGGTTTTCCCTAGTGACATTATTATTATTATTATTATTATTATTATTATTATTATTATTATCGTTATCATTTTTTTAATTCCAAAAGTGCAAGACAAGGAGAGAACCCGGGATCTGATCGGCAAGTCTAGTACCATAATAGTTACTGTTAACTGCTCTTTTTTATTAGTTATTTCCTCTAAGAGGGAGGGAGGAACAAGAAAACTTCACCTATCTCCTCTGGTCAGTGATTACTGTTGCTTTGGAGGAAGTGAAAGCCCCAAGGAGAAGGAGACCGAGAAAGAAGAGGAGAAAGACGATCTGCGTTTCCCTTCGTCCCCGCAGCAGCAGCGGCAAAAGGACAAACAGAGCAGCGCGCGGGAGCAGCTGCGGAGATAGGAGAGAGGATGATGGGCTCTGAGCCCCGGGCTGCGGGGAGGCGGCGTCGGCGTCTCCACAGCGGCTGCGGTGCGGCTGGCCACGGTAGTGGGAGTTGCGACTCCTTTTCCGCCACGGTGTCTTTGGCCGGGTGCTGCTCTGCTCCCCGGCGAGCTCCTCTTTGGACTTGTCTCCTACTCTGCGCCGCACTCCGGACCCTCCTAGCCAGCCCGAGCAATGAAGGTAGGCAGGTGGAGGTGGAGATGGACAGCGGGTGGGGATGGAAGTGGGGGGGGGGGAAGGGGAAGCGTGGACTGAGGTGAGGATGCACTTGAGCTTGGGCATGGGGTGGAGGGGACCGTTGTGCGAGGTGCACCATCTGCAGCTGTCCCAACTGCCGTTCTCTTCCTTGTCTTGCTCACGACCTCCCTCCCATTAATTAGCCCACAGAGTCCTCTCTTCTGTCTTCTTTAAGTTTATTATTTGTCATTCTTCGGGTGCCGTTGCGAAGGAGGTGCGTGTGGAGGTCAAGGTGCAGGTCCATTCAGGGGATCCGCTAAGTTATTGAGGGTGGTTGACCAAGAAAAAGGGTTTATTTACAGGACCCAGAGCCGTGATGTTGGGGGCTAGTCTCGCTCGGTCTTAGGGAAAATAAACAAGAAGGAGATAATTGTGGGGGGTCGAGGAAGGAGAGCTACTGGAAGGGCGACAGTATTTCAATCCTGGGAGCTAGAAACCGTTATCTGGGGGAGGTGAATGGGAGCATTTACTTGGGGCAAAAGTGAGTAGCAAGAGCTGGTATTTAGGGTGGCACCAGCTGCTATTTCAGGGTTGGTGGCGGGAGCTGTTATGGGGAGGGAAGGAGGCGCACAAGTGTTGGAGGGAAGGCTCTCCACACTGTTGATGCCCATCTGTTTATGACTATAATAATTACACCGAGGCGGCCGTGCAGTAGGAGGCGGGGTAGGGGGAGGGGGAGACGCGGAGGGTGGGGGAGACGCAGGGAGATGGGGGGGAGGAGGGGGCTGTCTTTGCCAGGAAGTTGCTGCTGGAGCTTGTGAATGAATGTCTCTCCGGGTTTTTCGGTGCCTCTGGGGAGTGGGAAAAGCTCAGCTCCGGATACTGGAAGTCTCCTGACTTCCTCCCCACCTCCAAAACGCTTTACCTCTGTTTTCTGGAGCTGCAGGTTAAGTTGGACTGTTGTTTGCTGTCTGTGTGATGGGCTGGGGCACGGGAAAAGCACCTGTGCCTTCTCTTCTGGTGCGGGGCCCTGGTGCACTGTGCCTAGTCCTCTGTGCCGCTTCCCTTCAACCGGCCTCCTGAGGTCCCGATCCAGGCTCCGACTATTTCTCTTCATACACACTGAGCTTCACGGGGACACTCTAGGCTTTAGCAAGAGCTAGGAAATCCGCCTAAGGTGAAGGATAAGGAGAGCTGTTTTACTCGTTTTATTTATCTCCGCCAAGAACGAGCTTCCAACTAGAATCCTCGATATGGGGCTCATGAAGGGGAACAGAATCCGTGCCTTTCCGGGGAGGTAGCCAAAAGACTCATAAGATGCTGCAATCAGCCACCTCCTAGTGTGCACGCTTAGAGTCTCCCTTCTTGGGGAAGGCGCTAAACTGTTTTCATACAGATGCAGCCTTCCAAGATTCGGTGTCAAAAATAAGAAACTAAAATTAAAACTAATCCCTTCCCTTTCCCATTACCCTAAATCAACTTTCTCCTTTTTTCTTCACTGTTATCCGATGTCCTGATTCCAAAATGTCTTAAGGAGGGGGTTTCGTTTAAAATACCCCGTTGCCAATGATAGACTAAGCAGAGGGTTACATTCCTTCTTATAATGGGGATAAGCTAGGGAAGGGTTTCACTGATTACAACTTCCCTATGTTAATCCCCTCCCCCACCCCACCCCCAAAAAAGTTGCATCTCCTCTGCTGAAAGTCAGGAGAAGTCCACCAGGCTTTGAGGTACTTTGTCTTGATTCTAGATGGTCATAGTCCTACTAAGGGAGGTCCTAATTTTTATGTAAACCTTCTAATAAGTACCACCTACCCAGGAGAGTTCGCTTGTTTTGAAGTCCATTTCTCCATGTTTTAGTGGTAGCCTTGAGGAGAGGTAGGAGGGCACTGAGAATAATAGGTCTTGGGCTATGTGTGTGTGTGTGTGTGTGTGTGTGTGTGTGTGTGTGTGTGTGTGTGT